GCTGAGGGTTATTCCTGAGTAACAGCTCCAGGTGGAAGCACATCCCTGCACATTCCCGCACATCCCTGCACATCCCTGCACATCCCCGCACATTCCCCCACATCCCCGCACATCCCCTCGCATCCCCGCACATCCCCGCTCCCCCCGCACATCCCCCCGCATTGGCTGCTGCCGCTGCCGCCTTTCCCCAGCGACAGCCAAACCTGCCTGCGAAACCTCGCTGGCAAATCCCGGAGCAGGGAGGGAAGGAGGGAGGGAAGGATGGATGGAAGGATGGAGAGGCTGCGCTGCCGGGATCCCTCCCCGCCACCCCCGCGGGGACAGCGGGGGCTCGCGGAGATCCCGCAGCCGGGAGATGCCTGTAAAGCCTCTCTTGTTGCTCTTTCCCTGGGAATTTTTGCATTTAGGCTGGGATTGATTTTTTAATTTTTTTTTTTTCCCCCCGGCATCGTGGGATGGTTTGGGCTGCGTCCCTGGGGATGCGATGGGACACGGAGCGCCTTGAAGGGAGGGACCTGGAGCATCCTCCCATCCCCACCAGGCGTCCCTGGGAGGCTCCCTGAGAGTGTTGGTGACCACCGCTGCTAAATGAGGACATAATTAATGCCCTAAATGATGAATCAGGCTCCGGTGGTGCCTGAGCCCCAGCCCTTCCCTCGGGCACTCCGCTGCTCCCTGCCCAAAGCTCTTCTCCTCCCTGCCAGCACGGCCAGATGTTCAACACCTGCAGGAAAGGAAATCCATTCCCTTCTTTTCTCCCCAGCCATTCCCATTTTTCCTCCCCAGTCCTGTGATGGGCTGTGCTTTGTGCCCGTGGGTAAAAGGATCGCTGGTATTTTAGAAAGCTTCTTTCCCTTTCCAGTCTCTGAACAAATTCCTTTTTTTCTTTTCCTGTTTTAGTTCCCCTCAAAGGCTCCAGGAAGCTGTGAAGCATCCAGGCACAGGTTTTGTGCCTCGTGGGCCTTTAAGGCCAGGCAGGATGGTGACGTTCCTATAAATCCCTTAATCCCACAACACTGACACGGCTCCTGGCACGTGGCTCCCGTTTTCCTCTGCTGACAGTTGCTGTGGGTTTGTCCTGTGGGTGCTGGGGTCAGTGCCCTCAGAGGCACAGAGAGATCAGGTGGCCTTAAATGTCATTTTAAAGCATTTGTGTGGCTCAGTGACCCCGAAACCCCCAAATCCCCTGAGAGCCAACACCAAGCAGTGCTGAATTTCATCGACATTATTGAGCCGTGGCCTCAAGGAATTACTTTTATGAGAGGATTTTTTCAATTCCTGATGTGCAGCCCCAACAAAAGGGGTGGGTTCTGGGAGATTCTTTTAGAGGACTGGGGAAAAGGGGCAGAGGAGAACAAAGTTCCTACAGCTCCTACAACAACGTGCACATCTGACTGCTCTGTGCAGTCTGCATCCCTGCCTGGGCACATTTGGAAAAGTTTGGACTCAAGGCCCCCGTGGCTCCCAGCTTGTTTTCCATTCAGGAATGGAGAGCAGTGATTTTTTTGGAGTGTTTTCTTTTTGTAAAACCTGCCCCCCAGCCTGCTCAGCAGTGCCTGAGGTGTGCTGGCACTCCAGCACAGAGCCAACCCCCTGCATGGCTTGTGCAGAGCTGGTTTAGGGCAGATTATTTTTAAAACAAGCTAAGCTGGGAGGGTGACCTCACTTGTGCTCAGGGATACCTCAGTGGGGCAAAAATAGCTCTGAGCATCCTTCCTGCCCATTGGCAGCTCCTTTCTGAGGGAGCCCAGTTGGTGGGAGGTGGGAGCTGCCCTTCGAGCCCCTCCTTTGGAGGGAGCAGCTCCCAGCTGGCCCTGCTGGGATCCAGGGAAGAGGCAGGGAGCAGCCAGGAGCAGTGTGGGCTCTCACACATCTGCTTTATCCTGGAGCTCACACCCTGCCAGGCCACAGGGAAGGAGGATTTCAGGCCCAGCATTGGGAAATTGGGTTTTTGGGGGGGATTGGGGAGCCTGGGTTTGCTGTGGGGGATGTGGAGCTCGAGCAGCATCAGGGGGGTTTTTCAGGATGGAGAGTGGCAATGTGCTGAGCACATGGAGATGGATGTGGGGCCTGTGGGATAAATCCTTCCCCTTCAGCCTTCCCCTCCCCTTCCTCAGGGATGCACCACACTCCCTGAAATCTGGAATGCTTCTGATGGCAGAAGGTGCAGGTGAGGTCACAGATTTGGGCAGGAGCACAGATCCCTGCACCTCCCATTCCCCCCCTCCACCTTCCCCTGCTCCTGCCCAACCACCCCCTCCCTGCCAGGCCACTGGAACAAAACCCTGCTAGCACCGTGCAATTCCTGCTAGAACAAATTGTTGCTGGCATTGTGGGTTATTTAAATCCACATATTATCTCTTCCTCTGTATTACATTAGCTTCCTCCCAAACCTTCGCCATCTGTTCCACCCTCGGTTATGAATGTGAGAAAACTGAACATGCTGCTCCACAGCTCCAGCACTTCCAAAGTAGGATGTGCATCCTAATGGCTTTTCCATGCACTTCTCCATGCAGGCTGGGCCCTTCCTTAGTGCCCAGGGCTCCCTGGGAATGGTCAGGAATGTGCTGGTGGCTCTTTGCCTCCAGCCATGAGGAGGGAGGTTTATTGTGACAGCTCCGAGGTGGGAGCACATCTGATGGGCTGGGTGGGGACACAGCCCGGGGCTGCTCCTGCCAGTGATTTCCCCAAAAACATGTGGCTCTCAGCGAGGAGAAACAGCGCTTTCATCCCTCCTGTGGGCCCTGTGTCTCCCAACTTGTGTTGTCAGAGGTGCTGGAACATCTGCGTGTGCCACAGCCTTCCCAGGGTTGGTGTCTGTGCAATTACTGCTGCTGCTCTTCCCCTCTGGGAGCCTGTCAGGCTCCTAATGCTGCCTGTCATGGCTCCAGTGCTTCCCAGGCATCCAGGCAGGGCCAGCCTGCATGGCTCTGTTTTTCCAGGGCTGCAGGATGTGTCCTGTGGAGCCCCCGTGCTCAGCTCATCCTCGCTGCTGGGTGGGAGCTGCTGAGCCTGAGCCCAGGGATAGGGAGGCAAAGAGCTCCAGGGCTGCTGGGGGGATTTATCAGCAGGGAAGATGGGGCAGATCCATCCTTCTGCACCCCAGACTGTTCTGGGGGGGATTTATCAGCAGGGAAGATGGGGCAGATCCATTTTCCCACATCTCAGGCTGCTCCCTCCTCTCCCCCCATCAGCTTTGCTGGCAGATGCTGGAGGAGCAGGGACGCTGCAGCCGTGGCAAATGTCACCACACCTCACCCACCTCGATGCCTCTCGCCTGAATTTTCGGCCTGACTGACAAATTCATTTCAGTTTCGTGACCAGGCACCATCCTGTTCTCCCCTGACAGGGAGATTTTGCTCGTGTTGTTGAAATGTCACCTCCTGAGCGTGACAGCTTTTCCATTTCTCCTGGGTAGGTCTGGGCCATCCTCATGGGACACCTCCAGCCCTGCCCTGTGTCTGGCACTGACTCAAGGGGCACTTTGGGGCAGTGGTGGCTTCCCCAGTGCTCCCAGCAGACCCCATCACCTCAACGGGGACATGAAGTGAGGAAGCTTCTAACGGGAAATCCAGGAATCCTCAAAAACCAAGACTGCAAAAACCCTAAACCCACCCAGCTCAGCTTCCTCCCGAGGAAGTTCAGCTCTGTCCAGGTCCTGCCTGAGCTGGTGATGTCCAACCTTAGACCCCCTCCTCCCCCAGCCCCCACAGCCTCCCCAGGCAATTAATTCCAGCCCTCACCTCATTAGTGATGGTTAATGGCTCACCCTCCTTGACTTTAAGCCCATTAATTCTGTCTGTGGAGAACAGATTCTTCCCTTCCACTTTGCAGCAGCTTCTAAGATCACTCTGTCTTCTCTCCTGAACACCTCCAGCCCTTCCCAGCAGCCACTTCATGCCCAAAGTGTCCTTGTCTCCCCCAAAATGAGGATCCCAGCGTGGGATGTCTCACAAGGAGTTGTCCTGGACCATAACCACAACTCAAGGAAGCATCACCAGTGCCTTGCCTGCTCCCGCAGCTTTCCCACCAAATTCCCAGCAATAATGGGTTTTTATTGCTGGCTGCCAAACTCCAGCTTTCACATCCTCCAGGGATGCTGCTCACATCCTGCAGGGAAAAATCCTGCTGCTCCCACCGCAGCCTGCAGGGAACACCTCACACCAGCAGGATGGGAGAAGGGAGGAGAGGGGATTCAAGGCACAAATATTTCACGTTTGCCAAATTTCCCTCCCGTCCTGCTCCGCTCAGCCCCGGAGCAGCCCCAGGCTTCCCCCGCGGGATCCCACACGCATCCCTTCACTCACCGTACTGGATTTGAGCGCATCCCCACTGTCCTCTTCAGATTCTAGTGCAACAGGTAAAGATTTCTGTGGCGGGGAGAAGGTTAAGTCCCACCTCAGTAGCCGAGGTTCAGCTTTGTCCCCGAATCTCAGGTTTTCCAGTTTCTGCACCGTGGGCTCGGCAGAGGAAGCTGGCCTGAAATTCTCTTTGTTCTGGGACTTAGACCTCAGTCTCTGAACCCCGAAGCCCCGGTGCTCTTCCCCTCGGTGCTCGTCAGCCACGCTCCTGCAGCCTCCCCCTTTGCTGTAGTGTCTTTTTTGGGTGTGAATCTCTTGCATATAAGAATCCATCCTCATGAGGGGCTTCATCTCCATCTCATAATTACTCATCTTCTCCTCATCCAGCTCAAGCAGCTTGGAGCTCCCTGAGCTGTGGTTGTGGGACCTGTGGTGGGAAGTCCATGAAACCGTGGCTGGGGAATCTGTCCACCTCTCTCTCGGCTTGTGGTTGGAGGCCGAATGTTTGTGAGCCCCGCTGCGGGCTCTGTAATCTTCGGGGCCGGCGGTGGAGCCCAGCTGCCCGCTGCGCATCGCCCCGCTCCTCCCGGCGCGGCTCCCGCTCCCCTTCTCTTCGCTCCAGCTGTTGGGGCGCAGGTAATCCCCGCCCCGCCCTTCCAGCAACATCTGGATCTCACCGCCCCTCTCTTCATCCACCGACACCTGCCTGGAGAAGTGGGCGCTCTTGTTGCGGCACGAGGGGCCGAGGGGCGGCGTGGAGCAGGGGCTGGCAGGGAAGCTCTGCAGCGGGCTGTCCTCGGGGCTCAGCTCGGACGGCGTGGTGCCTTTGCGGTACAGCTCGGGGCTCTCCTGCTGCAGGGGGGTGCCGGTGGACAGCACCTCGATGTCATCGCTCGAGTTCTGCCGCTTCGGCCGCTGGCATTCCAGCCCTTTTTTTAAATTTTTTTTTTTTTTTTTTGGTGGTGGTGGTGGAGGGGGGGGTGGTGGTCGTGGAGAGGAGAGAAGGGAGAGAGGGAGGCAATAAATGGCGTTATTGATGGGTGCTGGGTGTCCCGTCCCCCCCTCTCCACCCCCCGCGGGTTTTTTGTGGTGCAGAAGAGGGAGCAGAGGGTTGGGATTGGGACAGCGCTGGGACAGCAGTGTCACAGCTGCTTGGGTGACACCAGCCCTGCCCGGAGCCCTGGCCAGCACAGGAATGGTTTTTCCAAACCCAGAGAGGTGGAGAAGCCACCAATGACACAGAGCCGCTGGGAGAAGGTTCTGATGGCTTTTGGGATCCATCTGACCACGTTTCCTATCAGTTCCCAGTCTGGAAGTATGGGAAAGGAAATCTGTGACGTGGCTGATGGCACACCCTGTGCTCTGTGTTTGTGTGTGCTGGGTGACACTGGGACCACCCTGGGTGACACTGGAATCACCCTGGGTGTGCTGGGTGTCACTGGGATCACCCTGGGTGTCACTGGGATCCACTCTGGCTGTCTCTGGGATCGCCCTGGGTGTGCTGGGTGACACTGGGATCACCCTGGGTGTCACTGGGATCACTCTGGGTGACACTGGGATCACTCTGGCTGTCTCTGGGATCGCCCTGGGTGTGCTGGGTGACACTGGGATCACCCTGGGTATCACTGGAATCACTCTGGGTGACACTGGGATCACCCCACACCAACAGCCCTCCCACCCCTCCTGGATGGGAACCACCTCAGTTTTCATCTGCCAGGTGCAGGAGAGAAACAGTCACATCTGGGCAGGTGTGCAAGAAAACCCCCCCCAAACCTGATATCCAAGAGTTATATCCAAGAGCATTCCTGCCCCACAGAGCCCAGCAGGACAAGGATCTTTCCCTGCTCAGCCCCCAGCTTGGGATGCAAGGACAGGGAACAAAATCCTCCAACGTGCTCATCACTGATGAAACACCAAATGATTTCAAGCGAGCTAATAGTGGTTAATTCTCTTTTCCCCCTCTCCAGTCATTCCCAGCTAAAGCCATGCTAAATTAGGTGAATAATTTGATAAATATATTAAGTGCCTAATGCCCCTGAAATGCATCTAATTGCGATTGCTATGGCGAGACAAGAAACGAGTCTTGAAAAGGGAGAGCTCGATTTTCATGGCATCATTAAAAAAAAAAAAAAACAACAAAACAAAACCGCTCAGGAGCACTTGCTCGGGTCTCTCCAATTCTGCCGAGTAATTTTCTCTCTTGAAGCTTTTTGGGGGAGCTGCTGGGATGTGCCTTCACCCCTGCCAGGGTTGGGATGCACACAGGGAATGCTGGAGTCCCCACTGGAGCACTGGCAGGGAGGGAAATTGTAAAAAAGCTGCTTGGAAATCTACCCAAGCAATTAATGGGAAATGGTCTCCTAATGACTCAAGTTTTCGGGACAATACTCACATCGTCCAACCTCCATTTTTCCCCTGTTTATATGTGGGAGACTGAATCTCCTGGGGTTTATCCAGGGCCCCTGAGCAGTCCTGGTATTGGTGGGAAATCGCTGAGAAGGAGAAAAGTGGAGTTCACCCCTGTGTTTTCCTGCAGAGTATCTGTCTCTGGGATAAAACACACAATTTTTGGGGAGCTGTTTTCCAGTCATTCCACCTTCCAAGATCCCAAATGGGAAGCTGAGGCACAGAGGGAAAAAATGATTTCATGTGAGAGAGCTGGAAATCCACCTGTGGGAATGGGCTCACCCAAGGTTTGGTGTGTTTTTTGGGTTTTTGGGCTTTATCCCTAATTTTGTCCCTGGTTTTTGAGCTTTATCTTCCCCAGTTCAGGGATTTTGCTGGAGTTCAGGGATTTGCAAGCTTCCCACCAGCTCCAAGGCCTCCAGAGCTGATCTCCAGCCCCACAACCAGCCCCAGCCTGGCTGCACCCACTGCTCCTGCTCCCAGAGCCCCACAGAGGGGACAAGGAATCCCAGTGACACTCCCCCACAGCCACCCCAGGGGAAACGTTATTGACTCATCCTAAATCCTAATCCCAAATCTTCCCCAGCCACCCCTGCACCAATCTGCCTCTCCAAGGGTGAATTCCTGGAGGGCTGGGGCTCTGGGAGGAGCAGGACTGGAGGTTCTGGAGGGAATTTTGGGGGCTGGCTGCCCCCCAGCCCTGCAGCCCACAGGGATGGAGGCGTTTCCAACTCCACGGATGCACCGGGGCCAGCTTTGGGCACCCGAGGATGTGCAACAATTATCCAGAGCTAAAATTAGTCCCGGAGCACGTGATGTTCCTGGAAGAAGGGTTGTGAGTGTGAGGGAGGATGCAGAGCACCAAACCTGGATTTCCAGCAGCATGGAGGCAGCTGAGCTCGGCCTCCAAGGCTTCAAAGCCAAACCTGTGGTGCCCTGAGGAGCCACATTTGGGATCTGGGAGCCGTGCCAAGCTCCAGGCTCTGGCTCTGGTGTGCTGCTGGCACCGTGGGGACTCAGTTCCACAGCACCACCCAAACCCTGGGCAGATCCTGCTGTGTCCAGGAATTGGGATGAGCAACCACCTGGAACGCCCATGGCTGATGGGGATGGAAGCCATGGGTGACAGGGTGATGCAGGGTACAAAACATTTTTGGTTTTCCCACCTGCAGCTGCCCAGGGGTGCCCAGGACCCCCCCTGTGGTGTCCCACAGCACCCACAAACCCCTCAGAGGGGCCACCCAGCACCCCCAGCACTCACTGTGCCAGGTGGGTGGTACCCACACCCACCACCCTGCCAGGAACACATCCAGCACCCAGGATCCCAAAAGGATCCTGTGGAAAGGGAGCACAGCCAGCACCCAGGGGTGGGTGGCACTCAGCACCCACTGCAGCACACCGTGGGTGGCACTGGGGACCTGCAGCACCCTGCAAGGGGGCACAGCCAGCAGCCAGCATCCTGAACCTGGGGGGCATCCAGCACCCACAATCCTGAATATGGGGGGCACATCCAACACCCAAAATTCTGTACAAGGGGGACAAATCCAGCACCCTCAATTCGGAATATGGGGGGCACATCCAGCACCCACAAATCTGAATAACAGGGGCACATCCAGCACCCACAAATCTGAATAACAGGGGCACATCTAGCATTCAGGATCCTGTGCAAGGAAGGGCATTTAGAGCACCCATAATCCTGTGGAAAGGAGACAAATCCAGCACCACAATTCTGAATATGGGGTGCACATCCAGCACCCATAATCCTGAATAACAGGGGCACATCCAACACCCAAAATTCTGTACAAGGGGGACAAATCCAGCACCCCCAATTCTGAATATGGGGAGCACATCCAGTGCCCATTATCCTGTACAAGGGTGACAAATCCAGCACCCACAATCGCGAATGAGGGGGGCACACCCAGCACCCACGATCCCGTGCAAGGGGGGCACTCAGAGCCTCTGCAATGCCAGGAGTGTGGTGGCAGCTCTCCCCATCCTCTGTTCCCAGCCTGGGTGACACAGCCACTCGCACCTGTCACCTGCCCGGGTGGCACTGCCAGCTTTCCGGGCACATCTGGGATGCTGTGTTTGTTTTTTTAATGTGCTCTAAGTGGAATCACCTTCCCTCTCACACATCTCCCCCAGACAGAGCTGCAACCACACAAACCCCAGCACGAGTGAAGAGCCCCGTCCAGGAGGTAGTAAAAAATGTATTACCTAAAAATATCTTTCCAAGAGGTGATTTAAACCAGCAAAGTCTCCTGGCAGGAGGAAATGGAGATGAGGAACATCTCAGGGCTGGAGAAGCCCCTGGGAGCACGCAGCTCTGAGAGAAAGCTCAGATCTGCCACGGACAAGCTGGGTTTGGGCAGGAGGAGGGATGAGAGGGGTTCGGAATGAGGCTGAGCCTCCTCAGCAGGCGGGAGATGCAGGGGATGAGGGGATGCAGGGGATGAGGGGATGAGGGGATGCAGGGGATGCAGGGTTTTTAGGGGATGCAGGGGATGCAGAGTTTTTAGGGGATGCAGGGGATGCAGGGTTTTTAGGGGATGTAAGGGATGCAGGGTTTTTGGGGGATGCAGGGGATGCAGGGTTTTTAGGGGATGTAGGGGATGCAGGGTTTTTGGGGATGCAGGGTTTTTAGGGGATGCAGGGGGTGCAGGGGTTTTTGGGGATGCAGGGTTTTTAGGGGATGTAAGGGATGCAGGGGTTTTGGGGATGCAGGGTTTTTGGGGATGCAGGGGATGCAGGGTTTTTAGGGGATGCAGGGTTTTTAGGGGATGCAGGGTTTTTAGGGGATGCAGGGGATGCTCGGGGTGCCCTGGCTGGGGATGTGCCCTGCCTCAGGCTGCAGCAGCCCCCAAACCCGGCTGGCCCGTGGTGCCGAGCCCCCGGCAGCCCCCACATCTCAGAGAGGCGAGCAGGGGCCAGGCTGGGCCAGCAGAGCTCGTGGTCCCTTGTCCCCGAGCTCGGGAGCAGCCCTGAGTCACCCGCAGCATCCCCTGGAGCAGTGACAGGAGTGAGTAATCCTGGCTTGGAGCGGGGAGAACAGTGACAGCCGCCTCCTGAGGAGGGCTCGGTGCTGGAAAACCTCTCAGTAAACCCAGTCACACATTAATTATGGTGTTAATTATTGCTGGGGGGGACTTGGAGCTTCCCACTCCCACTCGGCTGCAGACCCCGGCCCGGGGGTCTGAGCAAAAATGTGATAAACCAACAAGGAATGTGAAAAT